TTTTGCAATTTGCATGATGATTTCTTTATATCCTGTTTATTTCTCTTTGGATGAGATTTCGGACATGTGCTTAAATAATTGTTCTTACGGATAGGTTGGACCAATACCAGTGGATGATGGAAATGGAAAAGAACTATCCACTGAAGTCGTTACAAACATGGCAACAAACAAAACATTTTACACTGATTCCAGTGGACGTGACTTCATCAAAAGGGTATGATGTGTTCTCACTCTTCTTTCTGGTAAAGCACATCTACACTCCGCACTATACATCTACAATGAAAATAAACATAGTACTGGAAAAAAAATCCCTGAATTAATTATGTGAATGCCCTCCTATCTCTAGTTTTGGAAGGGGACAAGGACTAAACAATGCACAGAAGAGGACTGCAACAGAAAATGCATCGCATAATTGTAAATGATTATCACAATTTATGCTAATATATAAGGTGTTTTTGCAGATACGGGATTACCGGTCAGAGTGGAAGATCGAAGTGCACCAGCCTATCGCTGGAAACTATTATCCTGTGAGCCTTTGTCTTCTCCAGCCTCTTTATATATATTCACAAGTGTAGAAGCACTGAGAAATTGGTTTCTTCCATGTCTTTTTATCATCAAATCAATATCCGAAACTAGTCAGGAGTTAGGTTTGAGTTATCCTCTTAGTTTATGACTTTATTCACGTATGGCTGGCTTCTTTTTAAAGGAATTTGGGTTTTGTTTGGTTATTTATTCCATTGAGATATGATAACAATAACATTTAGTGCTAGCGTAAGAAGTTCAGTGATCTTTACAATAGAAATTTTTTTCTCTTTACAATACTTCGATGCACTAAGGATTATGAATGATCGGAAAATGAAAATTTGACATGTACGAGTGAGACTGTCTTAAAGTTCACTCAATCCTTAATGTTTGATGAACTTACAATGTTTTCAATTCTTATTTATTGTGTGATGTTAAAATTGAAAGGATCCAGTCATAGTTTTCTGTGTAGCTTCACAGATAGTTTATTTTGGGGCTGATTTATGCATTTGTTGATGATTTTATATCTACTTTCAGGTTAATCTTGGCATTTATGTGGAAGATGGAAGCAGAGAGTTATCTATACTTGTAGACAGGTCTGTTGGAGGTGCCAGCATAAAGGATGGACAGATAGAGCTAATGCTACACAGGTATATCTTCAACTCAAACAACATAGTACAATACTTTGTTGCTTCTTTCATATTTTTCTTTGGGGGCATATCAGTTGATAATGTGGTACAAATTCCAGTAAAATAAAATACATGTCTAAGATGGTGCATATTTATCATTTGGTATCTCGCAGAAGATATGAGTCATTGTCTTGAACTTTTCCATGAATGTATGTCATGTCCTTCTATATAGCTAATAATTGTGTTTGAGGATTTTTTTAGTAGCTATAATTTTTGCTGTAGTGGAACTTGCACCGGTTCAAAAATGTTTTTATGTGACATGCCCTTTTTTTAACTATTCCCTTTTTGTGTACCTCTGAATGGTTTAAATCCTTGTCACTCTTTGTAGGAGACTACTTCATGATGATGGTCGTGGTGTTGCAGAGGCATTAAATGAAACAACCTGTTTTGATAATCAATGTGAAGGACTAGTTGTAAGTAAACAGAGCTTATTCTTGAATCCCTGTTCTGGATATAAGTCAAAATAAGATGTCAGCTACTGAGATCCTATCAGCAAAAGAATATGGGATCCCTTGTTTTTGAAGAAAATTTAGAGCATACTTAAATAAAATAAGTTAGTGCTATAAAGTAATATATCGTTTCTGCCCTCTTGAAATATTTTCTTATCTATAACAAAGTCCTCTTGGAGTATAAAGAGAAGATATATATGTTGTGCCAACTGTCACTAGAGATGTTTTTGTTCTATAATGTTTTCAAATACATTGATTGTGTGCAAAAATACTGTGGAAAACATCTTATTATGGTATTTCACAGATTCAAGGAAAGTATTATCTCAAAATTGATCCACAAGGTGAAGGAGCTAGGTGGCGGCGGACATTTGGCCAGGAAATATACTCCCCTCTTCTTATTGCTTTTGCAGAGCAGGTATAAACTGGAACTTATTTATAAAATAGTTGACCAAAAGGTTATGCTAGTTCTGAGCATGTCCTTGCTGTTTACTCAGGATGGAGGTAATTGGGTGAATTCACACGTTACAAAATTCTCTGCAATGGATCCGGCCTACAGCTTGCCTGATAATGTTGCATTGCTTACTCTTCAGGTATCTGCGTGCTATGGACCACTGTTGTTTCTCTTAAAAGTAAAAATGAAATGCTTGTCTTTGCACTAACAACTACATTGAAAGCCCTGATGGATTACTTGATTCTAGAGGTGGGAACCAGAATTATTCCCATCTTTGGTTATCGACTACCCAACTATCGCTGATTTGGTTCACCTTTATGCAGTATAATATTTATATTATTTTTAACCATTTGCAATGGTGCAAGCTAGTTCTTTGTCCTGCCCCAATCCTGCTTGATATCATTGATTACAAACAGTAATGAGCCAGTTAGCTAAAAATGTGCTCATGTACAAAATTGATGAAAATGCTTTCTAAATCTGTATCGGGCAAGTGTTGCACGATGTCGCTTTAAAAGTTATATGTGTCAAATGCCCCTGCGTTGGACAGGAACTTGAAGACGGAACTGTTCTTCTTCGGTTGGCTCACCTATACGAGGTCTTGTGCTATCATCCTTACTTTTCCTTGGTATACCTTGATCTTCCTTTTTATTTATTTTCTGAGTCTTGCCCTGTGTAATTATAGGCTGGAGAGCACAAGGATCTTTCAGCTCTAGCTAGCGTCGACCTGAAGAGAGTATTTCCAGACAAGAAGGTGATCATCATCACATTTTCTGATATACATCTATGTTTGATATACATGACCATTATCAACTTATTCGATCATTCCATCCTCACCTCTCCAGATTGTCAAGATTGTTGAGACAAGCCTATCAGCGAACCAAGAACGTTCAGCCATGGAGAAAAAGAGGCTGAAGTGGAAGGTGGAAGGCCCTCCTGCTGATGAAAAGATCGTCCGGGGAGGCCCCGTAGATCCTTCCAAGCTCGTCGTTGATCTGGGCCCCATGGAGATACGCACATTCCTCATCAATTTCGCCCCGCAGTCCGGCAAACAGTTGATGTGAGGGGTGACATGGCCTTGGCACCAATGTTTTATTTTTAGCTTGAGTTCTTCTCATGGTGATGAGCAATAAGAAATAATGTGGCCATGGTGATTGGTGACCGAATGCAGAGATGCACTGGTAGCATCCAACCACTGAGCCCTGTTTGTAGCTTGTAAATGAATTTGGCTTCACCTTAAGTTGAGCTCGGTTTCAGTGAAGATAAGTGACTGAAACTTTTGGTCTCCATGTCATTTGGTTCTGAACCCCTTTCTTATTCTGGACAGTGAGGAAACCGGCATGTATTGAGCTGCGTCTGTGACTGTGGATGACAAACTGGACCCACCTGTCAGATTATTTAGGTAGGCACAATCCAAGTTCCAAGCAGGACACCAGTTTCTTTGCCATTTTAAAACGTGGGCAAAATTTGATAATCCCACTCCAGAAAAAATGCCACTTTGTAATATTGCCACCCAAAATTAGTAAAATTCCATTCTAAAAACACTACCTTTAACAAGTGTACCCCTCTTCTCTTCTCTTCCAGCTGAGAAACAACCAGCCCAGTGCCATCGATCTTATTCATGATCTTATCCAAATTGCTTTTTAGCAAATAAAAAATCATTTGCTAGTAAAACTTTTATACACTTGTCAGACTCAAAAATAAATACTGTAAAATATATTATGATGAACAAATACTTGTACTTGGTTCTGCCGTCAACACATGTGGGCCCTACCTTTTTAACCTTTTTATATACTTTCTCCGTTTCACAATGTAAGTCATTCTAGCATTTTCCACATTCACAATGAGGGAGTATTTTTTATTGCTGACTGACTACCACGTGTGCGCTACGTAGGATCAAAACCACTCTAAAGTTGGTTAGGAGGGTAATTCGTTCAATATAAAAAGTTGATGATGAAAAATGTCTGGTTTTTGAATTGAGGAGGTTAATTCGTACTTCTACAGTAGCAGGGGTAATTTTGATTTTCTTTCCTATCAAATGATATATATAATGAAATTAATTTGGTGTTGTAGATGTTGCTAAATCTTTTGATAAATTTGATCAAACTTAAAAGAAAAGTCAAAACATCTTATAATATAAAATAGATGAGTACTATTCATAGTAAATTGCATAGTGACTGCTATCAATGTAACGAACGCCTCCTCGTTTGCCAAAAAATAACTAGTTGTTCTCAAAATTTAAATTTAGAGTTAAATTTAAGATATTTCCAATCTAAATATCTTTTTCAAATATTGCCTTTTAAGTCGGTATATAATATAAATTTTACTTACTCCCTTCATTTCAGATTACAAGTCTTTTTAATTTTAGTTAAAGTTAAACTGCTCCAAGTTTAACCAAGATTGTAGAAAATAGTAATAATATTTTCAACCCAATATAAATATATTACGAAAATATATTCAATTATATATTTAATAAAATTAATTTGGTGTTGTATATTTATCTATAAATTTGGTAAAACTTGGAGCAATTTAATTTGGGTCAAAATCAAGACGACTTATAAATTACTCCCTCCGTCCCTATAATATAAGGGATTTTGAGTTTTTGCTTGCACTGTTTGACCACTCGTCTTATTCAAAAAAGTTTGTGCAAATATAAAAAACGAAAAGTTGTGCTTAAAATACATTGGATAATAAAGTAAGTAAAAAAAATAATTCCAAATTTTTTTTGAATAATACGAGTGTTCAAACAATACAAGCAAAAAATTAAAATCCCTTATATTATGGGACGGAGGGAGTATAATCTAAAATGGAAGGAGTATTTTTTTTAATAAACCCGAAAAGAAAAAAGAAAAAAAAAAGCAGACATCACCTGAGTACACCCGCGGCAGCCGTCACGCTTCGGTCACTCATCCACTCCCACCGCAGCCATCCAACGAAAAACCCTAAAAACCCCTCTCTCTCCCCTTCGCTTCCATCCATGGCGGACCACCCTTCGTCTTCCCCTACGGCGGCCACGTCTCCGCCGCCGCGCAAGAGGCCGCGGGACGCCTCGCCGTCGGAGGAGGAGGAGGGCGGCCTCCCCGGCGGGCCGCCGTCGCCGTCGCCGTCGCCGGCGGGGTACATCTTCATGTGCAGCGGGGCGACGAAGCCGGAGTGCTACGCGCGCGGGGTGATGGGCCAGCCGCGGGGGAGGCTGCCCGCCGTCTCCCGGATCAGGCGGGGCGCCGCGCTCTTCCTCTACGACTTCGACTCCAGGCACCTCCACGGGCCCTACCGCGCCGCCTCCGACGGCGGCCTCGACCTCGCCCCCGCCGCCTTCGGTGGCCGCTTCCCCGCCCAGGTAACCCAACTCGCCCTCCCCCCGCGCCGTCGCGCTCCCCCGTGCGTTTCATCTGCAAGCAGCAGGAGGAATGCGGTTGTGTGGGACACATGCTGACGTCACGTGGTTAGGATATCGTTTTTGTTATTATTGGAGAACGGTGATGAATTGAGAATGCTGTGGAATTGGAGTGGTAATCATTTTTATAGAACCGTATTTCTCGCGGAATGGTGACTGATGGAAAATTTGGTAATTTGAGCCATCATGTTACTACACATTCTATGCGGTGATTATAATGTACTATTTAAGGGAATGTAAATTCATTATTTTTGTAGGAGTACAACATGCCAAACATAGCAAAGGAAATACGTACACACGTTTCCAAGGATTAGCATCTTTCATTGAGTTCATACATCTTATCGGTTTTGGAGTTCCTTGAGTTCGAGAATGTATTTTTGTGCTACGTTATGCATTGCATTTGAAATTTTTGTCGTAAATAACATCCACAAGTGAGCCATTATTCATATTTTATAACCGGCAGGACGAAATGTAACATACGTTAGTGCTGTCGCATCTGGTATACAGGAGCACATTTCGAACACATTTAGTCAGAAGGGTTGACAATCAGTCATGTTCATTGCACTAGTAATTATGCATAATGTTTTGTTACTTCCGTGATGACTGATGAGTTAACCAACAGCCTGTGGCTTGAAGAACCTTGCTGTATCACGTGGTTTAGTATAACATTGGTCCACTGGATTGTCGTAGACCATGCGATCACTTGGCTGCAGCACCTTGCTGGTGTAATGCAGCAAAATTGTAAAAAGCTATTATGGTCTAGGACAGCAGAATCTAAGGTTAATGATGAAAAATTGTTTTTCCTACTAACCAAATACCCATCTGTCGCAACGTATCTGTAATCAAATATCATAAGTTGTACAATTGCAATGATTGCATGCATAGCAGCAAAATAATCTTATTACAAGCCATAAGAGGTGTTGGTGGGATGGCAAACTCACCTTGATTTAGATTCTTTATATAGTTGAAATTTACCTTGTGTGGTGAGAATATATCGGCTGGGTTATGTTTATTGACATTCTCTCTGCCAGAGCTAATTCCACAAGCAACAAATGGTTCTCTTCAAAAGAAAAAAAGAGAGCAACCAATGGTACAGGTTTGCTTACAACTTTAGCTCCTTTAGGAATCAGAGAGACATATTAGAAGTGCTCTACTGATATGAATTAACCTGTCTACCATCCTTTTATTTTCCCTGGCAGTTATATGCGGTTTACTTTTGACTTTTGAGTTAAAAATCATAATGAAGTCCAATAACCAACTTCGTAGATTGGCTGTATTTTATTCTCAATATAGTTGAAGGTTCAGTGTCAACTTATGTTCTTGTATATGTGCAGGTCAAATTTACAATTGATGGTGATTTCATGCCTATCCCAGAAAGTAGCCTAAGAAGTGCTATAAAAGAGAACTATTCCAATGGGAAGTTCAGCTCAGAACTTACCCTTGCACAGGTAAATTTTAATCAGCATTTGTTGATACTGTGATCAGAGTAAAGATGAAACATATTCTATCTAATATTAACTTCTATAAGTATCATAAAACATATTGTCATTTCCTTCTAAAATTCCTCCTGTGCCACTTGTGAATAAGGAGTCAAATCGAGGTTGGGAGGGTTGCAATGTACTGACAATTCATCATGTTTGGGCTTTAAGGCATGAAGCTTATTCTTTTCAGTGTCTTCTTTATATGACACTTCTGCGTTTTTTATTTATCTTGAACTCAGATATTCTTTTGTTACATAGATTGAATATGTCTTTTCTGCTTGTATTTTGGCTGTTTAGGGCCTCTTTGTTTAGGCTTAGGCTTTTAAATTAGCCTTTTGGCTTATATGATTTATAAGCCAATAGATTAAGAGTCCCAAGTTTAATGTTGGAGTCATACCTCTACCTCACATAAGCCAAAAAAGCTTCTCCAACCTAGCTTTTGGCTTAACAGTGTAAGAGTGGCTTATGGCTTTAAAAAAGCCAAATGAAAAAGCTGCAAAACGCTGCTTGTTTTCTTAGGCTTAGACTTTTCAACTCATAAGCTAGCTTATAAGCCTAAACAAAGAGGGCCTTAGTATTGAAATTATGTTTTTTGTCCTGAGAAAAGAAATGACTGGTATAACACAAGAAAAACACAAATGGGGTATAATAAGAACATATAGCTCTCTCTATTATGTTATACTTGAATCTTGACTTCTGTTAATAGTCCGGCAGCTAGCTGGAATAGGAAAGGACAATACTTTTATCTTCCATTTCCTCCTGTGCAAAATTTTATTGGGCTCATGAACTACATAATATATTTACTTCGTTCTATTTCATCATTGTTGTTACTTTGTTGTAGGTTGAAAATCTGAGAACATTGTTTCGCCCAATTATTGTGCAACCAGAACCTGGACTCCCAAATAATTTTGATGATAGGCAACCTGCTCGTCCTGCTGAGTACCTACCTCCTTCCACTTCTCATCCAACGCAGCCAGCCGCTTATGTGCATCATCAAACTTCTTATATTCCTTTTCTAACTGCTCTTCTGGTGCCACATGAAGCTAATTCATATCTATGCGTTGCAGTGCTCCATGTCCCCTACTGCACCTTCTCTGGTGTGTGACAAACCACATTCTGCGGCAGAGAATGATGAGAATGGTTGCTCCAGTGGGTCCTCCATGTCATCGCCTGCTGGGTACATCTTCATGTGCAATGGCGTGACGAAAGCTGAGTGCTACAGGCACCGGGTGATGGGCTTGCCACTGGGGAGTCTAGACGTGGTGTCCCGGATCAGGCGTGGCACAGCGCTCTTTCTCTATGACTTCGATGCCAAGCACCTCTATGGGCCCTACCATGCCGATTCCAATGGTGGCCTCACACTCGTCCCGGATGCCTTCCGGGGCCGCTTTCCTGCCCAGGTAATTCTCTGTCGTTGTGCTATGTGTGTTTATTCTGCAGAGGAAGCGGGTTTTTGTTGTGACTATAGTTCACCAAGTAATGATATATGTTGACATGGTTGATTAGGATCTTTATGTCATTGCAATACTCACAGTGATGGTTGATGGAAATTGCAAATTTGATCTGTGATTTAGATAATCCGAAACTCATTGTTTTGTTCTAAACTGTTGTTTTTCCCACACCATTCTTCTTCTGGTTGCTCTAGCATTTGTGGAATTCTTCTGTCAAATCGAACTAAGCAAAGGAAATATGAATTAGCATATCCTAGGAGTAGCATACTACATGTTATCCTGAATTCAAATATATGCTCGGTTTTGAAGTTCCAAGAATTCTAGCAGGTATTTTTGTGGTGAATAATGCATTTCATCGATATAAAGGAGAAAATTGTGAATTCAAATGACCTGTTGTATAAAATATCCAACATGAGCAATTACTGGTATTACTGTTATCTCTGTCACATCTGTTATACAGGGGCACATTTTGAACACATGAAGCCAAATTGGGTGATGAGTAGTTTTGCAGAATGTCTTTGTTACTTCCGTGATGAGTTAACTAACAGTCTATATGGCATGAAGAACCTTTACTGGTGCTTGTGAGTTGTGACTGAGTCCAATGTTGGCCTGCTAGGTTACCTTAGACCATGCGCTTGCTTGGCTGCAGAAACTGATATAGTGCAGCAAAATCATGCTGGCCTATTGTAATTTAGGACTGCAAGATCTAACATTAAGGATTAAATCAAGATATTTTTTTCCTTTTTAGCATTTACCTTATGTGGTGAACATATGGGCCCTGAGAGAGGCCTAACATTCTCTTCACCAGAACTAATTACAGATGCAATGAATGGCACATGTTTCCACAACTTTATCTCTTTTAGGAGCCAGAGAGGCAGACATGTTAGGAGCCCCCCTGACATGAACTAATTTGTCTGCTATTAGTATTTTCCTGACATTTGTGTTCCTCCTACCTCACGTTTTGTGATGTTTACTATCGAATTAAAATATTTTAACGAATCCTAATAATAAAATTTCATTAGTTAGCTGTATTTTATTCTCGATATAGAAATATCAGTGACCACTTATGTTCATTTTATTTGTGCAGGTTAAATTTACAGTTGATGGTGATTTCATGCCTATCCCAGAGAGTAGCCTAAGAACTGCTATAAAAGAGAATTATTCCAATGGGAAGTTCAGCCCAGAACTTACCCTTGTGCAGGTAAGGTTGAATCACCATTTGTTGATATTATGATCAGTGTGAAGATGAAACAAATTGGACCCAATCTTAATTTTTATAAAGACCTTAAAACATATTCCTTCTGAAATCTTGTGTGACATACTCACATGTGAATTTTCATCATGTTTGGATTTTGAGGCCTGAAGCTTATTATTTTCCATGTATTGCTTACATAATACAGATCACATCACTTTTTTTTTTTATATTCCAGTCAAACTCATATTCTTTTACTTTAGAGAATGAATAAATTTTCTGATTGTATTTTGCCTGTGTAGTAACGGATTTATGTTTTTTGTGCTGAGAAAATTAATTGCTGGTATATTAGAAGAGAAACACAAGTGGGGCATGATAAGAACATGTACCTCTTTATTATTTTCTTTTGTTTTCTCTCTCTTTTGTGCTATTCTTAAATCTTTTTGTTAATAGTCTGGCGGTGAGATGGAATAGGAAAGAACAATATACCTTTATCTTCCATTTTTTCCCTTCTGCATCAAATTTTATGGGACTTTTGAACTATAGCATACTTCTACTTTATTCTATTTTCATCATTCTTGTTACTCTGCTGTAGGTTGAGAAACTGAGAGCATTGTTTCGTCCAATTATTGTAATGCCAGAATCTGCACTCTTCCATAATGACAGTGACAGGCATCCTGTTCCTCCTGCTGTTTACCTACCTCCTGCTTCTCATCCATCACAGCCAGCTGCTTATGTGCATCAGCAGCACCAAACTTCTTATATTCCTCCTTTGACTGCTCATCCGATGCCACCTGAATCTTATGCACATTCATATGCTCAGATGCCTCCTCCAAACATGCAGTTCACTACACCTCCTTACCATATGTCAACAGCTGAGTATCCATATCAAGCAGCGCACACAGCATATAGTTCATTGCCCTCAGCCAACAATATCTCTATGGCCAACAATCTCTATGGCCAACAATCTCTTTCTGATCATGTTTCGGCTACTGGCTACTATACTGCCCCATATTATGCCGCCCACCAAATTGGCATGCACCCAGTTGATCCTCCAAGATCACACTACTTAGGAACTACATCTGAGAGGTACGCGTTTATGGTTCTAGTACTTCCTGTTTGTCAATTTTATAATGTGTTGGCTGTTTCTCCGAACCGAATTAAATTATGTTTAGCGTGTAGGCCAATGCTGACAACATTGATGTCTCAAAACTATGTTGTTCAGTTACTGGACATAGTTTGAAAAACTTAATGAACTGATACTTGCAGCCTGCAGGCGCAATAGAGAACCATAATTTGCGATTTTGTCTAAAATCTGAAAGAACATTACTTGCAGCTACTTGGAAGTCTTACTTGTTCCTTGCTACTGTCTTCAATTTCAGAATTACCTACGGTACAGAGCATGAGGCGGCCACGACAAACTTGCAACCTATTAGCCATTATGGGTCCATTCCAAGTGGTGCAACCGCAGCACCTGAGGCAGCTGCGACAAACTCAGAACTAGTTTGTAATTCTGGGGCTACTCCAAGTGCTTCAGCAACTGGGGCAGCTATGACAAACTTACAACTCGTTAGGAATTATGGGTCTATGCCAAGCAGTGTGATTGGAGCTGCGGCACATTCATCTGAGGGGAGCCAATTCGAGCAGGCAGCCACTTACATCACTCATGCACCTGGAACCTACTACTGTTATGGAGCTTCCTCGGCGATCTACTCCTACCCAGGGAACACAGCATCCTGTGATGGAAACAATGTGGCTGCTGCTCCGTCAGTATATGCTGTCGCAGCACCACCAGCATACCAGTGATTACTCCATGGCCAACTGATGTTTCTGCTAACAATGTTATTCTCAGACCAAGTGCTGCTGCTTCTTCATCCTCCTGAGCTTCACATATGCCACCGGATGCACTAGCGATCCCGTATCATCGATGGTGGCCATAACCTCCCCATATAATTTTATCATGTAATTTTTGTGCATAAGGTATTAGAGTGATTCGTCTCCTACATGTAGCTTGGCTAGATTGGTGGCATCCTATGTAGCTGCATGTGTGAGCCAAGATTATATGTAAATACTCCTTGTTTATATTATAAGTTGCTTTGACTTATTTAAGTCAAACTTCTTGATAGTACCTTTGATCAAGTTTATAGAAAACTATAGAAATATTTATAGCACCAAATTAATTTTAGTAAATATAACACTGAATATATTTTGATGGCCTTTTGTTTTTATGTTTAAAATATTGCTATATTTTTCTATAAATTTGATCAAAACTAAATAAGTTTGCCGTGGGAAAAAAATCAAAATGAATTATAATATAGTAACTTCTAGGCTTAACTGTTTTGCAAGGACTTTTAGGCTCATAATGAATATGAAGAATCTTGCAGTTTGTAGTTGGGTAGATGCTGATGTGTGGCATATCCGCATATGCAGGGGTTAGCCAGTAAGATCAATGAATCCATAAATTTAGGAAATGGATCGAAATATTCGAAACGGTATACAAATTCATACCCCAACTACTCTTCTTCCTAGTGCCAAGTAATGAAATATACTCCCTCCGTTTCTAAATATTTGACGCCGTTGATTTTTTTAAATATGTTTGACCGTTCGTCTTATTCAAAAAATTTAAGTAATTATTAATTCTTTTCCTATCATTTGATTCATTGTTAAATATACTTTTATGTATACATATAGTTTTACATATTTCACAAAAGTTTTTAAATAAGACGAATGGTCAAACATATGCTAAAAAGTCAATGATGTAAAATATTTAGAAACGGAGGGAGTATGTAATAAGGCATTCTTTTTCAACCGTCTAACATGGATTGAAAGAAACATAATGCCATGTCAAATAAGATACTATCTTTGAACACATCAATGTTACAAGAGTTACAGCAAAGCTACAAAAGCATCATCAAACTGACATAAAAGAGCAAAATGCCTTGGATCCTAACTCATCCTATCAATCGACCAGAATGGTATCACAAGTAAGGAGAATCCATGTGCTGGTCATCTCTCTCATTGCCTAGCATCATCATTGGATGCATACCAGGATCAGGGCGAGGAAATAGCAGCTTCAGGCGAAATGCGTCGACGCCATTCAGATAGTATCTGTACAGCCTCTTTGCTCGGATGAAACCCAAACGACCATATAAGGCGAGGGCGCCCTTGTTCGTAACTTCTGCTTCAAGTGTCACCTGGTTGGAGAGTGAGTCAGATATCAAATAATTCAATTTTTGTACTAATTTCACGAAAGATATTATTGTTATTATGGAAATTGCAGATTAGTCTAGGGCATAATTGAATAATCAATGAAGCAATTTTACACCAAGAAAGTCAAGTGATGGGTACCAAAACGACAATAGGATAATAATAAGTTTTTCATCGGGTGAGAAGATAACAACACAGTGGTGATTACCTCCTCACAGCCAGATTCCATCATTACCCGAATAGATCTCGTAACCAATTCGGTGGCTGTACCATGAAGAAACAGAGGGTTAGCTGATAAAGGCCAACATAGTGTCCATTTAATTGCTTATTACAGATAAAATTAAAAAAGACAAATGGGGACCATTTGCAAAAGCAAAGCACTTGTATACTTCAGGAAAGCTATTCGAACTGAAGCTGGAGCTTTCGCAATACTCTTAACAGATGACAAAGCTACCATATACTCTATTCATACATCGAGAAAGGTCATTCATGTCAGGCAGGATTCAACAATTAAAGCTGTCAAGATCCTTGCTGCGAATGTCATTACAGAAACAACAAAGGCAATGTTTTTCAGATAAACAGACTATCTGTACCATTGTACCAAGATATATGTAAATATCAGTGTGCATTTCATGATAAAAGTATTATGAAAAATGTACTCCCCACACAGGATATATGCATTAGCAAGTCGCACCACACCTATTTATTGCTACATCAATTATAGTCAGCACGCTTCCAAGTGTATGACACTAAGAAGAAATCATCTCATGCAAGAAGTTGATGTAACGATAAGGTTAGGCTGCATACTACAACATCAGATGAAGTGCTAAATGGCTCCAACCATAAAGAACTAATCGACCAAAATGCTCTCATGTGCCACAGACTGAATCGCTGAAGCACCCAACACGAGACATCTGTCACAGGGAAAACTAAACATGGGAATATTGGTTCATAACACAATACCTACTCCTACACAAAACTAGAAAACCACCTAAACAAAGTTAACTAACATTTTATCAAAATAATAGCACAAATCTCAATTGAAACTGATGAGAGAAGATTATATAGTTTAAGAGAAGGGAACAATAGAAGGCTATTGTACCCATAAAAGAAATAAAAAAATGCCTTTCCTTTCTGCAAATCAAGCAGGCAAAGAACAAAGAAATCCTACTAAATACTTAACATGGCATCGTTTTTAGAAAACCAGTAACACTTAGTAAGCTAGTTTTCGTTCCACTCTGCTACACAGACATATTTCACTTGCTGATGTTAAGACAAAAATAATACCATATCAACACAAAGCAACTATTACAGAGAAAAAACAAGTAAATGGTAGTGTGAAAGGATCATGAAACAAATTAGACTTATAAGACCTATAGCTAGTAATTTCTTGACACATGTAAAAGTGATACTCAATTAAGTTTGTGCAAGCATAACAAGGGAAAAACACCTATTTAGTACATATGGATATCATATCGAAATCGATGGAAGATTGTAAATCCGTACTAAATCGCCCACCACTCCACCAGGTGCCAGCCATTTCAGATCGAATTGGAACAAAAACTGAAAAACCCTTTGCTTTCCTCCCAATCAGCAGGATTCTTAAGTTCTTATTTAGATTCATGAGTGGTCTACGCTTCCTTTCAGGACAGACTTGTGCAGATACTATCAAAGGGAAGAATATGCTCCCTTTTGAAACAAACCAGTCAATCAACCAATCAAACAAACAGAGAAACTCTTCTTGGAGAATCGAAGGAGGGCTCACCGATTCCCCTGCCGCGGTAGGGCTTGAGCACGACGAGCATGGCGATGTACCCCCTGAAGGCCCCCCTGTGCTCCCCCATCTTGCACACCACCGTCCCCACGCACTTGCCATCCTTGGGATCGAACGCCTTTTGAGGGGTTGTCCCCCAAATCAAATCAACCAAGAACGCATCAAATCCTCACGAACTCTTGTGAAACACGCGCGCGAGGTGAGGGGAGGAGAGGGCGTACGAGGAAGGTGAGCTGGGGCCAGAGGTAGACGAAGTAGCGGTAGGTGAAGATGGAGTAGGGCTCGCTGAGCTCCTCGTCCACCAGCGACATCACCAGCGGGAGGTGGTGCTCCCCGCCGTAGCTGACGTACGCGATCTCTCCGCCTCCGCCCGAGGGCTCGCCCCGCTCGGTGGCCTCCGCCGCCGCCGCCGACATCGCCGCCGCCGCAGGTCGCCGACGAGGTACTCCTGTTGGGGAGAGGCACTTGAACCCCACGCCCGTTCTACAATCTTGACACGTGGCGTCACCAATCTTAAAGCAATCACACCTAAAGACTGGAACATACTCCTATGTACTCCACGTCTCCCCCAATCTTTAGCGAGGACATGTTTAAGATTATTACTACCAAAATAAACCTTTTTAAAATTTAGTCAAATCAAAATTTTTGGTAAGTTGATAAAATTGTTTAAGTTTTGATATGATGGAATAAATGTGATGTCACCAATTTCCATAAACATTATCAATATTTGGTACTAAACTAAATGCAACCACAAAATTATCGATTTACCATTGTAAATTATGGTGTCAGTGTGAAGCCCTAAATCTGGAAGACAAGAAATATGGGACAAAGGGAGACTATTTATAGTGGAATTCCACAGCAACTTGCATTAAGACTCGGAATCCCGGAGAACACGCGGGGTATTCTCTAGTTATTATATATGACGACATCCTCCTATATCCTACTTTTCTTTCCTCCGCATCAAAAATTTGTATGTGGCATTTTCTCTCAAATGCTGACGTCACACTATTGTCCATTCTCTTACCTTTCCTTTTCACTTTCCTTTTTATTAAAAAAAATAACTACCAGACCTTGCCTATTTGTTATATATATTAAAAAAAGTTATGTACAAACAAGAAAAGAATAAAAGAAATAAAATTATAACCATTGTAACCAAGAAGAATTCAGGGAGCTAAGAGAGTCATTCATCTTGGACAAAGAAAGACTTCCATTCCATGAGTAATATTCTCAAAGATCTTCCTATTTCTTTATTTTCAGATATGCCTGCAATAAACATTTTTCCTTTCTTATGAATCTAATTCTTGCCAAGACCAACATGTGAAAGAGTTCTAGGTTATCATTCATTTTTGTACCAATTCTCTCCCAACAATTTCTGCTGCAAGGACAAGAAAAGAAAAAGTTGTATGGGAGTTTCTTTTTCTGTACTAAAGCAAATCACTCATAAAAGGTCGCATCTTCTTAAGGATAATATTTTCTATCAAGCATATTTCTCGTATTTAGCCTATTACAGAATATGAGCCACATGAAAACCTTTATCTTCGTAACACATCTTATCTTTTTTACCCATAAGAATGGTCTTGGAGGTGTCAACTCCACAAAGTTTAGACTAAAATTTTTGGGAATTAGTATATATAGTTGATTATTACAAATGAAAGACCAAGTACCACTCATACTGAATCAAATTGGTTTCGTCTTTGAATACTTATTAAAAAAAGTATCATCCTAAATCGTTTCAATTTAAATTGCATTCATGGCATCACATTTTCAATCCCAGTTTGCTTCGTACGCACACTAGTACAATAATGATTTTTCCATGCGGTCAAAAGCGGTTTTCGCGTGCGGATCTTTCGCCTGTCTGGAACGAAGTATCTGTGAAAATCCGATTTTTTCGTGCAAGTGAAGCACCCACACGTGAAAATCAAAAGCCGTCTTGGAACCCTAATCCAGCCGCCACCACCGCTGCCGGCCTGCCCGAGGCCCATCGCCGTTGTCCCCGCGGTCGCCGGTGACGGATCCAGACGCCCAAGGCTGGGAGACCGTTGCCGCCACCGCCGCCGTCGCCGCCGCCTTGCCCAAGGCCCACCGCCATCGTCCCCATGGTCGTTGGCGACGGATTCACCCGCCATCAACAAAATTATCACTAATTCTCCAATTAACAAAATGCCCGCTAGTTACACAAAGATTCATGAGCAACCTATGTGCAATACAACAAACCACCAACAGTTTAAAAACACTCCTAATTAATCCTAATGAATCGATCTTGAACAATTCACCTCTCGAGTCTCGGCCATGATCGGATAGACAACAAAACCAAAAGCACATAACATGGGGCAGGACTAATAGAAAGTATGATGGTAAAAATTGCAAAGTGAAGCATGTCAATTTCTACAGGACAATAGGACATATCGTCAATAGAAACCAAGATAAAATAATAATTAGTAGATAGAAGATTTTAGTACATTCATAGCAGCAAACACGCACTATAGTGATCTTTGTTGGTAGACACCATAGGAACGTCAATTTGCTCAAGAATAATTTGCTGCTGGACACTAACACCATTAAACTATTATTTTCATTCGAGCCAGAGAGAGAATTTAACAAAATGGCACTGTTGCCCTCTCTTCTTCACCATGGAGATTGGGGGGGCAGGGGGAGAGGTTTGGAGATTGGGATTGTGTCGTCGGTGGAGGAGGGAGGAGCGGGCGTGGGTCCCGGACAGCCGTTGCTAGAGGTGAGTGTTAGAGTATATGGTAGTTAGAGTCATATTAGGATATGATTGATTTGTGTGGACTCCTTCCATATGTGTAATCCTTCCTTATCTCCTCCCTAAGTACTCTTATATATACCGGTCCCCTGACTCAATACAATAGATCCACGTTATGCAGTATTCCTCTCGTCTCTATGCTATCCAACATGGTATCAGAGCGGGCGACCTAGGACTGCCGCTCACCGCTTCCGCTGCCGTCGCCCCCTAGGGGGCTGCCACCTTTTTTTTTTTACCGTGTTGCTCCCGATCTGCTAGCCACCATAGGCAGCAGGGCCGGTAGCTTCGAGCTGTGCCACATACCGCTACGGGGAACAAGGTCATCCGTGCCATCTGCAGCAGAGACGGCGAAGGGCAGCGCTGGTGGAGCAGAAGACAAGGCACGATTTGTTGAGGTTGTAGCCCATCTTCTCCAGGCATGGGCACACCATGCACTCGACCATCGCCGGTGGCCTTCACACGATGCGAGCGTCTCGCCATCACCTGACGACAGGTGCTCTCTGAGCGTCCGCTTGTTCACCCTCCGCACGTCATAATTCCACCCGTCCTCTTTGCCGCACCACCTTGCTCACCATTTACCACACCTTGAGCCGTGTCAGGTGCATCGTCGCCCACCGGGCATCTCGTCCTCCGTCCTATTGCCCACAGGTGCTACGCAGGGATCTCGTCGTCCTATTGCCGGAAGATGACTGTGAGAATGGGGGAGAAGATAGGGGGTAAAACTAACATTTTGCATGTTTTCTCTCTCATCAATGAGATGTATATTATATTTTAATGCATACGTGTCCTAGGGTAAAATGCCACATTTTTAAAGTGTTATTGGGCAAATTCATGTTTTTGGGGTGTCTGGCAACAAAACTATATATTTTAAATGCCATGTAACAAATTTTGCCATCTTCCTTATGTCCCCTTATGTAGACAACCCTTCAGTTGCTCTTCCTCCTACCTTCCGCAGTCAAAATTTTAAATTTAATTTTAACTTACTATAGTATAATTTATTTTTTAAAAGCTACCAAAATACTACATCGTGACCTCCATTGTAGAGCTAGTGATTCGATAGTGTCCCAATTCAAAGTGACGTAATTTATTTTTTTTTCATGAGGGCACTCATAGCTCAACTCAAGTAGACCAATGCCAAACCCACAGGTCTGTAGTCGCCTTCGGTAAGTGTAAAACTTTCGTAAATCTGCGACACAGTTACAAAGCCACAGCGTGATAGGCTGATAGCTCGTCCAAGTTATTAGCACAAAAACATTATTATTATTATTATTATTATTATTATTATTATTATTATTATTATTATTATTAAATACGAAATGAGCTATGGCCGTGGATTTGCTCGAGACATATCAACGTCCTCCCACACAAAGTAGGAGCACACCGCCCCTCTCGCCGGCGTCCACCTGCCGCACCCGAAGAAGCGCCGCCCCTGCGTCGGCCCCGGCCTCCGCGCCACCCCCACCCTGCTCGCCACGCCGCACTGGCAGTAGTGCACGCGCGCGCCACCGCCGCCGACTCCCGGCGCGGCGGCCGCCGGCGTCGCGGCCGCGCTGGCGCCAATGGCGACCAGCTGCGACGGCGGCCGCGGCGGCGGCGGCAGCGAGCCGGTGATGGCGAGCCTGACCCCTCCTCGCCGGCGCATCAGGAGCGCGAGGAGGCGCGCCGTGTTGCGCGCGTCGTCGAGGCCGCTGTGCGGCCGCCCCTCGAACGCCAGCCCGGCCACGGCGAGCGCCTCCTCCAGTCCGATCCGGCGGGCGCCGCCGCGGTCGAACACCTGCCGGAAGGGGACCTTGAGGTTGATCCACCGGTCGAAGTACTCCGGCTTGCCGTCGCCGATGATCCCCTTGAACCGGCACTCCCCCTCCAGCATGGTGCGGCAGTCCCAGTCGCCCCACGTCACCACGGCGAACCCTCCTCCGCCGCCGCCGCCGCCGGCGGCGTTCTTGACGCCCCTCGCGTCCAGCCACGCGTCGTGCGCGCGCAGCGCCTCGCGGAGGTCCACGCCGGCGTCGACGTCGGCCTGCGCGATGCCGGTGAGCTCCCGGCAGTAATCGGTGAGCTCCCGGTGGTGCAACGGCCGGACGTACGCCCGGAACGCCTCCGCCAGCTGCTCGCCGGTGGCGCCGTCGACGACGACGGAGGCGAACTCGATGATCTCCTGCGGGTATATCCTCCTCCCCCTCTCGCACGTCGCCTCCAAGTCGATGACCACGAAGTAGGCGAACTCCTGGAGCTGGACGCCGGCAACGCCATCGCCTCCGCGCGCCGCCGCGGTATTCATATAGAAACTTCAAGAGAGTGTAAGCTGATCAAGCAGCTACACAAATTACCTTTCGCTCAAAAAATCAAAATTGTTTGGTGTAAATTCACCATCAAGTACGCTGATTTAAGTAAGGATGCTTTCAGATTTTCCCCGGCAATTGCCTGGAAATCTGAAAAGAATCAGGTAGACGAGAATTTTGACCTCGCATCAGCAGCGTTAATTTCTGGTCAAATATCTTTCGGAAACTATGCGCGCGTGACTCAAGAACGACACGGTATGACGCACTTTTTGAGGTCCCCAAACATTTTGAATTCATTTTCTGTACCTTTAGTTTTTAAAAGGAATTTATATATATTCCCTTATGACTCATGACTGCATATGTTCTCTTGCTATTTGCAACTGTCAACAATATCACTAATGATTCGTTTTCACACAACAATATCATGCAGTATACTAGCCGATAATAGATTTTGCTACACTATGATACGGAGGTTAATGTATATACTTTTGCGTCGGTTATACATATTGGCTATACTGAACAAACAATAGAAAGATTTTATGCATACAAGGTCATCGAATTAAAAAGTATGACCTCGAAAAAAAAAAGAATATGAAGTTTGCTACCACTACTTTAAAAACGGTTTTTCTAGACGCAACCCTATTTATTGTAGGCGGGCTAAAAGAACGTCGGCATGTAAAAAAAATTAGATGATGTTCAGTTAAGTCCCGCATGGAAAAATTGATTCTTGCATGTGGCCATCTTAAGATATCCGCTTGGCACAAGAGCTGTCCCATCCCTTTCTTCTTTCCTCTCCCCCTCCTCCAATGCCTCCTCTCCTCTCTTCTCACCCCCACTCCTCTCCTCACCTGAGGTCGATGGGAGAATCGCCGCTGGGTGAGTCCTCTGCTCCTCATCCTCTCTCACTCTACAAGTTCGTGGAGGTGCATGAGGAGGCCGATGGACTGCAGCTCCGACAGCAGTGGGTCCAAGGCAACAACGTCACTACAAGATATGCGTGGCTTTTTGACGTATTTAATATGACACATGTCATAATGTCACTATATCATATAATTTATGACATTTTATTTCAGGCATTTCAACTTAATGACAATAAAAAGTTGTGTGTCACAATAAATGTCATATAGCTAGTCTATTGTCATCAAGTGACAATATTTAGTATGTCATAAGACGTATTTGTGTGTTACAAATTATTTATTGTACTATTTTAAATACTTTTGTCCATGTAGGCAAGCCTTACTGCCACATCAGATTTTATTTTCATTTTTTCTTTTAATAATCTGTTTTTCCGTTCTAATTGGGCTACCTATAGAAGCCTAAACAGGCCATCTATTGTGTGTAATGAACCGCCTATCTGCACCCACAGATGGGCCAACCTGGTGCTAGCCCAACAGCATCGTCCCCGAAATGGGCCAACCCGTTACTCAGCAAAATTTCTTAAAAAAATGTTGGCCATGGGAGTCAAACCCACAACCTTCTGTTTCAGGGGCGGTGTGCAAACCACTGAGCTACAAATGATATGTTTATTAGATGTTTCATATTATTTTATATATCACGTTTATATCCTCTAAAGAAACTAACCTAACAGGCCGTCAACCTTCCCACTTGAGCCCATACCGCAGTCCTCTCCTGGCGACTCCAATCTCAACCTCCGCCGCCGCTGTGCGGCTCCTCCGTCATCGTCGCGAGCATCACTGGAGCGCCGTGGTGCTCCTACTCGTTGAGCGCAGTTTTGAGGGGTCTGCCGGGGTCCTCACCGGAGCGTGGGGCAGCGGTTTGGCGGGCGCTGGCAGCGGCGGATCTAGCGGCGCGCTGGAGAAGCGTGGGGAGCGGCGCGCGGGGCAGGCGAAGAGGCGCAGCCAGCGGCGCGCTGGACGGGCAGAGAGGCGCGGCCAGTGGCCGACGGTGATGCCCGCGGCCAGCCTCGAGCGGAGCAGCGCGCGGCAGCGGAACGGCTTAGTGAGCAGGCCGTCCGGCGTTGCCAGCAATGTGGCTGGGGCTAATCTCCGTCAAGCAGCGGAGCATCCTTGATTTGTTCTCCTCAGAGTGCCAGCCTGCAAGAAAGGTACATTCTTGCATCTCAGTGCTTAGTAGTAGTTGCTTACTGATTTGCACCAATCACAGGACAATAGTTCATGGTAATACCAATTTGTATCCTAGTGTTTGTTTGTTAGCAAGAAATATATAAAGAGTATGTGTTACCTGGATAAAAAAGATTCGTATAAATTTATTTGATCCATTATTGGAGATAAAACAATGCTCAACTATTGTGTACAGATTGCATATAAATGATGACATGTCACATGCTTAATAATTTTGGTCAAGTATCATATATATGTAAATTTTTTTGAGCAAGTGTATCTCATGATTTTTTTAGCCTCCATAGGGCGTCTCCGCCGCATCGGGAGAGACCGGCTCCCCTCACAGGTCTGGTGGTAGCGGACCTCTCCCTCGTGGATCTGATGGCAGTTACCTCGGGAGTAGCGGATCTGCGCCACTGGCCTTAGGTGCAGCAGGGTCTCGACGATGCGACGGTGGACTGCATCGACGATGACGACAGTGGCCCTCTCCCTCACGGATCCGCCACCGTCAACCTCGGGTGAGATGAGGTCTCAATGACGACGACAACGGCGGCAGATTGCATCGACAACGATGGCAACAACCCTCTGCCTCATGGATCCAACAGTGGTTACCACCTCCCTCGCGGATCTGACAACGACTAGGGTGGATTTGAACTAGGGTTTCAAAAAGCTTTTTTTTTTGCGATTTTTGTTTTTGCTCGCGGACGACATAACACCCGCCCGCGAAAATACTTTTTGCAAGTTGTTGTGCTACCTGCCTGCAAAAATTCCTTTTTTCACAAACACTTGGGGGCTCCGCCTATGAAAATATGATTTAGCCACATGAAAAAAAACCCTTTTTAGTAGTGTACTTCATCTTTGTATTAAAAATAGCCCCCAAAGTTGGGGGCGACTTAAAGGACCTATTCTAAAGTTCATTTTGAAACGGATGATTAGCCGCACGCAACAACATATAAACTTTTAGTATATAATCAATTGAGTATTAATTATTAAAAACATCAAAAATACATTTATTTGAATTTTTAAAGCAATTTCTATGTAAGTTTTCATATGGAAAACACCGTTTAGCAGTTTGAAAAGTATGCTTATATAAATTGAGGAATTAGCCAAACCAAAAGAACGCATTTTCTGTGGAAAGAATACCTAGGGAAGGTAGCCAAAACAAAGGAACTTCCATGTGTGAATTATGATATTAAGGGTGGATCCAGCTTAGGAACTCCCTGCTGGATCATCATTGAAGAGGGCCGAAGAAAAAAAGGAGATGAGTCTCCCTGTCTTGGATCCGTCCTGGTATGGCATTGCTACGACAAACTTGGCACCATCTACGCTAGACAAATGCTTTTAGCAGATGTTTGGATCTATGTTACCCAGATACGGCTGAAAAGCCACGTATCCGTATCGGATACGCTCCGATACGTATCCCGTACGTATCGTTATTTACTTCGATTTTCGAAAAAATAAATTAAATCGGATACTTCGTTGATACGTCCCCTCCCGTCGCTCCTGATACGCCCAAACCCATCCATGGAAGACGAAGCGCCGATCCAATCCGTCGCCGTGCCGCCTGCTATTGCTCCAATCCCTGATGCAGTTCCCACGGGCCACGTCCTCCCCATCGCCGCATCCATGCCCGAGGCGTGAGTCCTCCGCTAGCTGTCGGGTTCCGCCGCCGCATCGCCAACCAAGCCGCAGGGTCCCAACCAGCCCGCAATCGAGCTCGAGCGCCTCGCGCGTCGCCGCCCCTGAGCGCAGCTGCGCAGGGCCACCGCCGGTCGCCTCATCTCCTCCACCGGGTGCAGCATCTCCACTGGCCGCCAAGACCAACACCATCAGTACGCCACCAAGCTACTTGGTTCTTTCCCATTGAAGTCTCGATCTGCATTTCTTGCGTGTTTCCCCATCTCATCTTAGTGCTAAGTGTTCTCTCCTCTCCTAAATCCAATGAGTTTTGGAAGTGGCAGTGCATCTCTAGCACTCGTACGTACTGCTACTGCTAGCGTGGCTATGCGGCTGCACTTTGCAGATTCATTAGTAGTACTAGCGACCAGACATGGGAGCTCTAAGGTGAGCCTGTACTAAAAAAATTTGGTGTATTGATCAATTGATGTCATGTATTGGCTATCTCTATTTACAGCCTCATAATTATTTACCTCTATATATTTATTATTTTAAATATATATTGACGTATCCCCGTATCGGTGTTTTTAAGAAAATGCAGTATCCTCGTATCCCCGTATCGCATATCCGTATCCCCGTATCTGGATAACGTAGTCTTGGATTACTGGTGAACACAGCAACTATTAATAAAAAAAACAATGGTGTGTGGAATGATGAACTAATCGACATTATTATTGTTTGCCATTATCAATCGAGATGGATCATCATCGCCATCTGCTATTCACGTGGTGGACTTGGTTGAGAGTTGAGACCAAAAGTCGACGGCGCGGCCTCGTCCCACACATAGTAATCGCACGCCGCCCCTCTCGCCGCCGTCCACCTGCCGCAGCCGAAGAAGTGCCGCCCCTGCGTCGGCCCCGGCCTCCGCACCTCCTTCTCCCGGCTCTCCACGCCGCAGTGGCAGTAGCGGACGCGCGCGCCGCCGCCGCCACCACCGCCGCCGACGACGACTCCCTCCTCCTCCGCCGCCGCGGCCTGCGCCGCTGGCAACGGTAGCGGCAGCGAGCCGGCCGTGAACCCTCCTCGGCGCACCAGGACCGCCGTGTTGCGCGCGTCGTCGTAGACGACGAGCCCGATGTGCGGCCGGCCATCGAACGGCAGCCACGCCATCGCGACCGCCTCCTCCGGCGAGAGTGTCGCCGCCGCCGAAGCCGAACACTTCCGGCTTGACGTCGTCGTTGTTCCCCTTGTGGCCGCCGGCGTCAATTAGGCTTAATAACGTATTAATTAATAGATTAATTCTAAGGTGTGAGTATATAGGCACGGCTTTATCATCTCATCCATATTAACTGATTTATAGAAAGAATCGAGCAAGAATAGGAGAGAGACCGGCCGGTATACGAGCGTGAAAAATTATTACTCTCCAGGTATTTTAATAAATATATAACCTCATTGACTTTTTAACTAACGTTTGACTATTTATTTTATTTATTAAAATTTTTATACAAATAGAAAAAATATTTGCGTCATATTTAAAAGAATATTTGATGATAAATCAAATCACAGTAAAATAAATGATAATTACATAATTTTCTTTTGAGAAAAATAAATAGTCGAACATATCATAAAAAAAAAGTTAACGATATCATACATTAAAACATGGAGGGAGTAATATCCTGGTTCTTAGGTGCTCTTAAGGGTACAAGTTGACCACTTACAAAACTAAATGCTAATATCTGACTCAAGTACGTACTAAGGATTGGCTCGATATAAAAAGTAAATGCTATTATCTTCACATGAATTCCCTCGATAAAAACTCTCGAACAAGAATTCAAGTACATATATAGGATTGGCTCGACAAAAGGTAAAGGAGTTGTTTTAACCTAAATCCATACCTATTAAAAAGCATATCAAAGCTAATGATAATTCATGTCTACATTAGAGCAATAGAGCCTGCGTTCTTATTATGTTTTGAAATAAATTATAGAGTGAACTTCGGAGAACCTTGGGCTGTACAATTGAGGTATGAAAAATATCAGATGTTATAACTTGTTGTGATATAACTATGAGTTTTATGGTTGAATATTCAGAATCACCTAATTTCAACTATTTTACAAAACAATACAGAACCAAATTGATAATATTAATCAATTGATCAACAATGGCTTGTTGATATATAACTAAATTCCACATAGATTTTATGACATAAAGATATACTATCTTCATTATCCTCTATATCTTCATCCCAAGGTTCTAAGTTCAAATATCCATATGAGCGAATTTCAGATTATGTTAGATTAGATTGTTTAAGAGGCTAAGTACCCAATTTAAATGGCTGCATATATCTGGTTGGACATAAAGGCCGGGTAAAAAATATAAAATATATTTTATTTTCTTAATAGATGACGCTGTTGATTTTGACATATGTTTAATCATTCGTCTTATATTTACATAATTTTTTAAATAAGATGAGTGGTTCTAAAATTATATCATGTATTAAGAAAATAGAGAGACTAATAAAACATTTCATATGGATCATATGAGAAAAGGTTAGAACACAAGTATAGCTTTGTTAACGCCAAAATTTGATAAGCCCGAAGTTATCATCGGCCTAGAGTCAGTATCGGCTTCAAAGCCTTGGAATCGGCCGATAGGAGTTGTCAAATCGCCAGCAGTTGTATTCTTGATGGAGTCGGATCAATTAAAGGAAATTTATCCAGAAGAGTCCAAGTTCACGGAGGATGCGGCATGGCAAGTTATCTATTAATTAGGTTATTAGGAATAGTTTGTGTCGACGTTTGATGTCGCGATTCTGGTATTTACATAGTACGGGGATCGTTGGTACTAGGATATATGCGAGATTGTAGTAAAGGAGACAGAGACGAGGATTTTTATATAGGTTCGGGCTCCTGAATTGTCAGGTAATAACCCTACATCATGTTGGCCGAAGCCGGTCGTTGCTCTTATTCATCATAATCACACCAGTACAATATTTGGGGTAGCCTATCTAACTGTTGTCGACATGGCGGTCTGAAGGTCTGACTCGTAGTCGACAACAGGGTAGCTTTCCTCCTCGAATCCGCATCCGGCGAGATCAGAGACAACGCTATATCTCTCCTGACGGTATCCGTAGGCACCGCAGGGGACTAGCCATGCCTATCTCTGAAGTCGATATCCGGCGTCTTGTCTTGGCGTATGTTGGCTTGTATGTTGTGGCTTCTGTTGTTCCATGTTGTCCGTATCCCCTCTCCTCCTAGGGGGCCTTGTATTTATACCCATAGGTGTCCCCTTGTCCAAGTAGAACTAGGAAAACCAATATGGACACAATCTGAGTAGTCCTTGTCGTTTCCATGTAGAACTCTTGTTGTCTTTCCTTATCCGGAACTCCATCCCTATCCGAAGGTTGTTTCCGTATAAGATATGGTATGTGGTGGATCCTGCCGAGATTTAGTCAACTACTATTAGGTATGTGGTATCCATAACCCTGACAGTTTGTTACTCCCTCCGTTTCACAAAGTAAGTCATTCTAGCATTTTCCACATTCATATTGATTTTAATAAATCTATATAGATATATATGTCTAGATTCATTAACATCAATTTGAATGTGGGAAATGCTAAAATGACTTACATTGTGAAACGGAGGAAGTAGTTTCCTTTATTTTTAGGAAAGTGTGTTTAGTGTAAGAACTTTATATTTTCCTTTTATGTTTAGAAAAGTTTCTTTCTTGTCCTACAAGGACTAGTATCTTCCCATGTGTATAAATATGTACACCCAGGGTCATTGTAATTTATCTCTCGATCAATACAACTACTCTCGACGCATCGCCACCCTCTTTCCTAAGGTTTTTACTTATCATCCGATGGAATTTGGCACCTGACGCGGGGCTGCATCGGTTCAGTTTGATCTCCGGCGAAGGGGTAAGTCCTACGTTCCGCCGGCCCTGATGAATCTATCGGCTATGTTGGTGTTGTTCAAGGCTGCATCGCTTCGATCTCTTGGATCGCTCTGGTTTAGTTGATATATTTGCCTACGTGATATCTCAATTCTATCTCTAATTGCATTGTATTTAAAGACGCATCGGTTTAGTTGGGACTGTCTCGATTAGGTCCGATCTTCTGTCTTAGCCGATATATCTCTACAATCACAATGTTGTCCTAAATAGATTTGTTATATCCATCACATTAGATAGATCTATCGGCTCATCGAGTATTAGATAATCATATACAATTTTGTGCTACTAGATTGTTGTTGATAATATAAGTCTTGTTAAGCCGATAGGTTCATGCTAATGTTTTATCGGGGTACTAGCCGATAAGTTATTTAGACGTTGCATTGGCTTATAAGGATTGCATATACATATAAGTCGGATCTAGCCGATGACAATAAAGGTTTCACTGTTTAATCTAATCTTGTGGATTTTATGACATCGGGCCTCCAGCCGATGTATGCTTTAACCTTCGGATCGATGTTTATCTATCATATCATTATTAGCCGATTGGTTTCTATTGGATTATATTATTGTTATTTATCATCATCATCGGATCGACTTTATATCATTATCTACATACATATAGCCGATTGCTCAAAACCCTATCGAACATCGGCTGGTATCGGCATCGGCTGTAATTACTCCATTGGCTTGTCAGCCGACCGGCTCATCATATCTTGTTTGTTGCAGGGTCAAACTGACTGGCACGTCCGTATCTCACCAACCTTTGGTCCTGCACTGGAGTTAAGCAGATCTCCCAGGTCTGTTTTTGGATCAACACATTTTACATTGTACTGATTTTAAACGAGGTTTTTTTTATCATATGCAGTATAAAAGCAAGCTTATACTCTCTTCATCCGTGAATAAAAGGAATTATACTCTTTTTTGGTAAAAATTAAGGAAGTAGTAAAAGGATATCTGATGTGACACAAGGCAATGGGTGAAAGAATAAGGTACTATAAAAGTTTGTAGATGTGAGATGGTAGAGAAACAAACTAGTATAAAAGTTGGTAGGTGAAGAATATAATACTGTCTTATGATTTTATTAGACAAATTTGATTGAGAAAATCCCTTAAATTATAGAACGGAGGAGTATTTCATAGGCAATGGTTTTCTCTAACTACAAAAATTCGGAATTGTTTTGAACTGCCATAAATTTCTTTTTGTCCGAAAAGAAAAAAAAAACCAAGCGCACTTGTTCTACCACGTGTCCTATCCTCCTCCTCCCAACATCGAACTCCTGGCCCACAGCCCACTTACATGTGGGCCCACTCCAACCGAAATCAACACATCGCCGAATACACTTTCCCCGGCCTTATCTCCCGCGACCCAAATGGAAGCCACCGCCGCCGCGACCCGCCTCCTCCTCCCGCCTCTCCGCGCGCCGCCGCCGTCGCTCGCCGGCGGCGCGGCGGCGGCGGCCGGTGGTGGGGGCCGGTGGCGCGGTGCCGTGCCGAGACGGGCGAGGGCCCGCCGCGCCGTCGTCCCGCCCCGCGCGTCGCTCGTCGACAGCAGCGGCGGCGCGGCCGCCGCCGCCGTGCTCCTGGACGCGGCGGTGGCCGGGGCGACGGGGTACTCGCAGGCGAGCTACTACACGTCGCTGGGGCTCTTCGTGCTCTCCGTCCCTGGCCTCTGGTCGCTCATCAAGCGCTCCGTCAAGTCCAAGGTACGGCTCTCCACCTCTGCTGCTTCCTCCATCTCGCTCTGACGAGTGTTGGCGATGCCCGTCGCCATGCGCGCGCTCGAGCCTCGAGAGCTCTTCGCATTGGACCATGGCTGTCTTCCTTCCTCCTTTCTTTGGAGGTGACTGCTGCTTCTGTAGATAGCTCAACGAGTGGCTGAGTGTGCTTTGCTTTTTCACTTCCTTCAAGTTCTTCTTTGCAGAGTGTTCTTGTCAGTGCAAGAACCACCATTAAATCCAATAGGGATTCATGACTGCTTTGCTGTATCAAAATCGTTGCGTCCTTTTTTATAAATCTGTCTAGTCAATGATGCGAATAGAGAAATTTCATGGTGACTTAGTTATGTTTGGCTGCTGGTTCTCTGAATTGTGCGGTCTTTAGGTGATGTTGTTTAGTTCGTTGCTGAAAACAGTAGCATGGTTGTGTGGTTTGCCTTTTTTTTTAACCGGCATTAGACATGCTAGTCTCATTCAAAACATGAAGAGTAAAAGTTATATATACAAGTATAAAAAAGTTGTACGAGAAGTAAAAACACTACAGCAGCATAAGCGAGATGTGCTGTGGATTAGTGTGCGAATTCCTTTTTTTGGTACTAGTAAATTAGTGTTTGCTAGTTCCATCCACCAATCGTGAACCATTGTGGTTACCTTTCATTCTGACGGTTTGAGCTGTTCGCATGATGTCCACCAATAGTGTGTGGTTGTCATCTATGTCAAATTGGCTAGTGCAGGTTGTGCAGAAGACATTCGTCAAGGAGGAAGGGCAGACGATGGCGCCGAACCAGGTGGCTGGGGAGATCCTCTCGTTCTTCACCCGTAACAACTTCACCATCTCTGACCGTGGCGAGGTTATCACGTAAGTAGCCAGATCGGATTTCTATCCTAATGCAGTAATCTACTGAGTTATGACTATGATATGCAGAAGTACAGGATAACCTTTGGACTATACTTTTAGCACGGTGTGACAATACCATTGGGACTTTGTACAACAGTTTTACACATACACCAGCTGTGTTAATGTGCTTCTTTATTCTTCTTGCAATCCAAATGTTGTGGGTTGTACCTTTAGGTTCACAGTGATCTCCACCATAACAACAATCATAGTAATTTGGTGATTCAAACACAGAACTTGATTGAAGCAAAGATATGAACAAGTAATATTTTCTACTTAACAATGCTTTACGCTAGAATTACATTAATTCTGATACTCACAAGTTACTTGGAAGTTGTAATAGAATGGAAACCCAAACTAGTATAGCAGTTGTATTTATTAGTTTTGCCCTGGTACCGTAGAGAAGTACAGTGTAAAGCTGCCCATGTTGTTTATATAGTGCATATCTAGCATAAGCTTATGCATTTTGTTTCACATCAAAATGCAATGCAAAATGAGGCACGATTTATGTTTTTTGCGCAGTTTTGAGGGCACTATGGTGCCGAGCAGGGGGCAAGCAGCACTTCTTACCTTCTGCACCTGCATTAGCCTTGGCAGCGTCGGTCTTGTTCTATCAATTGCAGTCCCGGAGGGTGGCAACAACTGGTTCTGGCTTATGACCTTAAGCCCATTGGCGTATGTCTCTGCAACTCTATAGCAGAAATTTAGAATGAAATTTCCAGGTCAAATGTAGTAACCTGTCCCTTCTTGATGGTTCAGGGGTGTATACTACTGGACAAAGGCATCAAGAAAAGAAGAGATCAAGGTCAAAATGATTTTATCGGATGACGGGAATGTATCCGAAATTCTTGTGCGGGGTGATGATGTCCAAGTGGAGCAGATGAGGAAGGAGCTCAAGTTCAGTGAGAAGGGGATGATATATGTTAAGGGGATCTTTGAAACATGATTGAATAGCTTGTTATCTACAGAACAGAGCTAACAAAAGAGTTCAAAAGAGCAGTTCCCTTGGTTCAAACTTCAGGTGAGGGAGATTTTGAATACCTACGGGCAAATCTGTATCTTGGCTTGAGAGGAAAAGAGGTGTATCCATGTGAGACTCCATTAAGATCGTGACACAAATTTTCTACCTAGGATATATATAGTGACTCAACAAGCAACTCTTTTCATGAAGATAGACAGTGCAAAAAATAATAAAATTGAATTGCATAGTAGTAAATGTTCGAGTGCGCAGCTCGGCTCACCCACCGTGGGCCACCCAGGTCACATTGGGCCTGTTCCACCACAAGTGGTATCAGAACCCAAGGTTTGGAACCCAAAACAATTTCCATGAGTCACATAGTGGAGAGGCTAGGTAACAAGTCTTCGGGGTCACATGGGTTGATGTGACGGGGGAAATTGTTAGACCCGAGGCCCAAGTAACAAGTCTTAGGGGTCACATGGGTTGATGTGACGGGGAAGATTGTTGGGTTTAGTCCCACATCAGTAATTGATGATGGAGGAGCACGATTTAAAAGGTGAGGGCGGTCCTCACCCATCAAACTAGTCTTTTGGGTTGTGTAGACCTAGGACCTAAAGTTATGGCTCCGGTTGGGCCTGTGGTGGAGCAGGCTCAATGTGACCTGGTGGCCTACGGTTGGTGGGCCGGGCTGCGCACTTTAACAAGTAGTATCAGAGCAGAAGGTTTCAGCATTGCATCAAGAAGACAAGTGGAGCAGGAAACACGAGGTCGTCAGCCGTGGCGATGAGATTGACGGTGACAACGAGGACGTTGCGGCGGCGACGACCTCACTCGCGATCAGACCGGCGATGGCGGAACATGATCGGAAGACGGGGCCGAACGTGGCCGAAGGCGTTCGGAGAGATCGGAGGGGTAACGCCATGGACAACGTGCCCGACCCACGTGGCGAAGCCAGCGAGCGTGGTGCGGCGCAGTGGACGTGGAGGGCCGGGACGATAGGGTCGTGGACGGTGAACACGAGGACTCTGACTGCGGTGTGTGCAGAGGCACGAACAAGCATGTATGTGTACGTGCTACACGCGCACATGAGATGCATGCGACGAATCAAGCAAGTAAATATGCAAAGTAAACAAACAAAAACTACGGGCTGCATGCAAATTAATTGGTGTATTGGGCATGTGCTTGGTCAAAAGCATTGATTACGTGGCTTGGGTGCAGTACGCATGCAAGCACGAGCTGATACGGACTTGCATACAGCAAGGCAGCAAGCCGTAGATGGGAGAGACTTTGCAACGAGGAGACATCACAGAGATTAATGACCGTGCAAAAGTTGTTTACGAGCTAGTCAGACTTGAGTTTGGGTGCTGTTTGGAGAGGAGTCCGTAACAGATTCTTCATCGTAGTACACGATATATACATGTTAGTACACGATATATACAATGGCGGAGCCAGAAATTATATAAGACTAGAGTTAAGATATGGCTCGACTAATTGAGTATTAGTTTTCTGAAAAAATTACATGGTGAATCAACAAAATTTAAGCAAGTTTTTAGAGGCAGGCCTAGGGCTCAAGCCAGGGGCGGATCAACAGTATAGTCATCGGTGTCAGGCGACACTGACGAATTTCAATAAAACCTATAGCAAAACTACTTATTCATATATTACAACATCATATTCTAAGCATAATTAGTGTACTATGACACCGATAGACACGTTATGACACCAATGAATCAATTTTCTGGATCCGCCACTGGCTCGAGCTCTAGCTGCCCTAGGCATGTCTCCGCCCCTGATATATACGAGGTGACAAGGGAGAAGTCGGTTGCATATTCAACTCGGACTTTGGACGTAGAAGGATCAAGGAAACGAGACAGCGCACGACAGCAAGGGCACTCAACGTCGGCAACTTTTGGCACGCAGGCTTAAATCATATTGCTGGTCGTCGAGACAGAAGGCTTGGTTGAAGCGTGTAACAGAGGTGCGTGTATATCGGTTGGATCGGGCCGGCAGGGTGGTCAGACCCAGTGGCGGAGCCAGGATTTCAAAGTTGGGTATTCCCGTCTAAGCACTGAGCCGTTGCCTGTCCTTGCCCCTCGCGGCCGCTGGCCACCCAACCGACCTGACCGCCTTAGCTTGGCGGAGTGTCGGGCGCCGCCCGCCGTGGCAATGGCCTCCCCCTCCGCGGTAGCACGGTCCAGCTCCCGCTGCCGATTGCCGTCTTGCCGCACCGCCACCTAGGGTTTGCAAATGGGGAGTGGCGCGAGGGAGCCGAGCCAGGGAGGGATGGGTCAAGGAGGGAGAGCGAGAGGGGGCTGTCTGGAAGAGTGGTGGCTAAGTGGGTCAACTGATGTCTGATGGGTCATGACGGAGTGGGTCGGGTTGGTTGAAGGCATCGTAAGAGACAAGTTGGGCTGTGTTTGGATCAAAAAATTGAGAATTTAGGTGTACAAATATGTGTACATGTGTATATACTAGAAGTATACTTGTTTTTTTATAAAAAACGTTGGGTATTCCCAGGAATACCCGAGAATCATGGTGGGTCCGCCACTGGTCAGACCGACGGACTGGTTAGGCTGTGGAGTTCGGACGGTTAGACCGAGTTCAACAGACAGGTGGTTCGTTGCAGGAACTTGTTAACGAATCCGGAAGAAGGACAAGACGGTTCTACAAATGGATAGTTTGCAAGTTTAAAGGGTGAGTAGACTGGTAGCAATAGGCTGGTCAGGTCACATATGAAGTTATCTGACATAAACAGGATATATCCGGGACTCGACGAGGAGTTGAGATATATGGAGTTAAGCCAGAACTGAAGAAAAATCACAGGCAACTGCGGGTGAAAATCGTTGAGGGCATCAACGGGCTGTTTGGCAGTATAGGATATATCCAAGATCTGCGGGGTTTACACGATGGGGATATATGAAATCTGCGTCACTGAAGAGGAAGAGCAAGCGCTATGGCGGTAATTCTTTGGGTGATTCAAAGCAATGGTGAATTTTCTCGAAGTATCATCGGTTCAGTCTACAAATGCGGGAAAGCGTGGATGTTGGATTTATTAGCTCGGTTCATAAGACGATAAGGAAGAAAGGGTTCTCTTCAAGTCTGGCGAGTTTGATTTATCTATTTGGTGATGGCATGGGCTATCTAGCCATGGATAAGATGAAGTCAAATTTAAGACAGTAGATAGAGATGAACATGGTTTTCGGGGAGTCTATGATGTGGCAGCTAGGAAGGAATCCAATTTTGATTGGCAATACGACTGTGATGATAGGAGAGAAGGTGGAGCATTGTTGTAGGTGGAGTCCAGAGGAAGAAATTATTGGGATAGCTGAGTCTCTCGAAGGTGGTGGGTCTAGCACAGGCTCGTCGGGCGGCTCGTGGTGAAGCTGCAAAGAAGACAACCCAAGTTTGGAGGACAGGTGGATTGGCATGGTGATTCTACTACTTCTGGGTGGCGTATATTCGTCAAGGTGGAGTTGGTTAGAATAGGTGTCGAATATACTGTAAAATCAAAGGTGTTTTTTATTATTATTCTGTGATGAACAATTGGCATTGGAGATTATTGGTTTTGATATTTGGAATTTATTTGCGAAGTGGTTTTGGAGATGATTGGATTTTTACAGGTGATCTACAGGTACTGCTGTGATTTGGGTCCGGTCAGACCGGGCAGTGGTGGCCGGTCAGACCAGCGTGTATCGCGCGGTCAGACTGGCCGACTCTGTGTCAGTTTCGGTTTCGGGTTGTTTATTTGGATTTCCGTGATTGTTTCATATTTATGGATTCTAGATGGATAATATGCGTATGTAATACTGTTGTTTGCTGACAATGAGTCAAGTTGGGGATAGCTTGGTCTCGGAATATGGTTTCTTTGTTTATTTCATGTGTAGGTGACTTAATGTCTCGGGAGAGTATTTGCGGTGATGCATCGGGAGTCGGCTTGGGGACAAGACGATGTCCGTGACGGCCAGATATCATGCAGGATACTTTGGCTAAAGTTCAATGCACATGGTTGGTGAAGATTTTATATGGCATACGATGGAGGTATTGTGTGCGTATAGGATGCGGAGTCGAATTTGAAGGAGTCCAAATTTGGTATGATTGGTTATGTAAAGTTTGTTTCTTGTACGAGAAGGTTTCCTATGGGGATTAGGACTTCTAGTATGAGTTTAGTTCGTGGCTTTAGGCTGCCTACCTCATGTATAAATAGAGAGGGAGCGTGAGGCTTCCCGGTATCGCTTTTGAGAGCATTGAGTTGCTAGTTTAGTTAGGGTTTCGAGTTTAGTTGAGATTTTTGTAAGAAGTGCTGTTGGTGCACTTTGTAAACACAGAGAGAAGCAATAAAGTTGTCATCTACTTAAAGAGTTTTTCGATTTGTGTTTTCTCGGGTGCAGCGGTCCAACCGGCAGGACACCTGCGGTCAGACCGGTGGCATCGAGGTCAGACCGGCGGAGCAACGGTGGTCAGACCGGTGGCAGCGACAGGAGCTGGCAGGCAATCTCGGCGGTTCGACCGATCGATCTATATCGGTCAGATCGACGTTCTTCAGGTGGTCAGACCGGCGCTGCTACTTTGGTCAGACCGCGATCCTTCGAATTTGAGGGTAACTTTTAATTTCGCAAAAAGTTTGGGTTTTTGGGCATACCAACCATTCACCCCCCCTCTGGTTGGCTTAGTTCTTGTGATTCGATCCTACATATACTAGTCCTATTTGGTTACAGTTGGATTTAAAGTTGTAATAGGTGTTAGCGGTGGAGTTAGAGTCCCACAATGTAACCATGGCGACTACAATGTAGCGTAGACACGCAGGGAGATAATGGAGGCGTGGCCATAGACTCGTAGCTGCTAGGTGCTATATTGGTTGGGAGGAGCGCCCATAATCAGAGCCCCGAGGATGTAGGCTTCGGCTGAACCTCGTTAACAAATATCGTGTGTTCTTGTGTCGTCATCTGGTGTGTCTTGGGTGATCAATGACTAAAGCGATCAGAAAGGTTAGTCGTCGTTCCACTATATCGACCAACTTTTATAATAGTAAATGAGAAGATGTTGCTTGAGATGTTCAAACAAGATTTTTTTAAAAAAACTGCATCATTCGTTGCATGCGAAAAAATGTGCAAAGTATTTCCATCACCCAGCTCTTTCTGAGCGCTGGCACAAGAGATGACAGGAAAAGATTCTCTGAAGTGTAAAGTAAGAAATACAGAACAATGAAGCAGAA